AGGCTATCCCACTGAACTATATCTTTAGCAACATGCCCCCTCCCTTAAATTCTTGAGCCCAGGTGCTGCTAACTCCTTAAGTTGCCCAAGCTAGATTTGATCCTGTGAGCCTGCTTTTACAGTTTCCCCTATATTCTTTAAGAGTAATATTTCTATAGGTATGTGTTTTGATTTATACATGTTTATACCTATGTACACATCTACCTATGAACACACGTATACATAATCTACAAATATCTAAATATATGTGGCACAGGAGGGAGGGAAACAGAATCTTTTAAAACTTTTAGGCAAAATTCTGAGAATATCTGTGCACTTTTTTCATAGTGAAGTTTTTTCTGAATTATGCGTTTTTTAATGTACGAAAGTCATATTTTAGAATGAATTAATGTTAGTGTGTTCTAGCAAGATCCTCGCCCATCATGGTATTCTATCCATTTGCACACATTTTCTGTTTTAAAGGTAATTTTCAGTTGTATTTTGTCAAATGCTATACAGGTTGTATATAGAATATATAAATTTTCTGTGTTTACAAAATTACATCTATAAATACTAAAATTTTAAAGAATACATTTCCAGATTAATCATAAAAATCTTTCTTTGGGCCAAACCTAGCTGTCCTAAGATCCTTGAGATTTCATGGTTTTTTTGCTTTTTTTTTTTTTTTTGAGAGCCTACTGTGTGCAAGAGATCATGCTGGTTCTGAGATGTTAAAAATTTGGATAAACTAGACATAGCTTCTGACCTCATGGAAATCATTTTACATTGTGATGAATGTGTCTAAAGAAATTGAACTATTCTTTAGGTTTTTTCCTAACAGCAGATTTTCCTTTGCCCAGGGCAAATGTATAAGATATACTCTTTAAACTTTCCTACAGATGTTTCACATTTCTTTCAGATAAAAAGTCATAAATTTTTGGCTGTGGAAAAAGCCAAGTTTTGTTTTTGAAAGTCACTCTTGCTTTACACAATAGCACCTTTTTGCTTGACTTTCTAAGATCAAAATCTAGGTTTTCTGCTGCCTAGAAAATGATTTTCAGCTACAAGAATTTTTAGCTAGAGCTCATGCACCCCTCAATCTCCAGTATGCACAAACTCACTTGGGGCCTATGCTCAAAAGTAATTTTTATGGGGCTCTTTGCACAGAGATGCTAAGTCATTAGAGCTGGAGATGACCCTGGAATGTACCTTTTTAGTAATACAGAAGATCCAGGACCATGTTGTCCTTTAAGAGCCATAGACGAATTTCATGTGGTTTGGTTCAGCCCTCAATCTTTGACTACCTGACAATTTTTTAGCAAGAGTCAGGGCAATTTAGAAGACTTTCATTAATTTTTCAAAGGGGTCTCAAAAACACCATGGTATTATAAGTAGCAGTTTACAAATTAGACAAGATATTGGTAAAAATAGCTATACATCCAGCAACAAAAACCCACAGCAAAGGCCTTACAATGGAAAGATAAACTACAGAGCAGATATAAATACTTAGGTTGTACAGCAGTTTGTATCAAGGTCCATCAGATTATTGTTTTTGAGAAAAATCTCTGAAGTGAATAGATGTGTTGGTAAACTGGTGAATTGGTCAACAAAGTTTGAGAAACATTATTTTAAATGTTTTTACTTTATTATAGAAGCAAATAGAAACTTTAGCATGTTATTGTCCATCATGAATCGCCTTAAGGAGGATTTCATATGTGGTATTTCCCTAGATTATTTAGCCATAAAATTCTTTTCCAGTGATCATCTCTTTGTGAAATGCCCTTTAACAGAAGGACAAACATTAGTCCCTGACTGCAGAATAGAAGTAACTTTCATTATAATCCTTCTGTAAAGAGAAATTTAAATTATGTTCTAAATAGTTTAAAAAAATAGGAAAGCCGAGGGTTTAGTATGCATTTTAGAAAAACTCATTAAAATAGAGAAGGAAAACTCCTCAACTACCTAGTTATTATTTACATGGTCTTATTCATTGCTAACTAGATCATGGTAAATTATATAAAGTCTTCCTCTGAAATAGAAATTTACTTTTTAATAATATTATTATAATATTATTGAGGCATGGGTAAATTTTTCTTATGAACCAGAGCTTATTGTATAAAAAAGCAACACTCACTATTTCAGATATTTTACAGCAATGATTGGTCATAGACCAAACATAGTTGCCTGTGTAAGAACATGTGTGTTAAAGTCTTCCTGGAAGAAAGAAGTTCCATGGTGATTTAAAAAATAATTTGATTAATAAATAAATAAAGACCAGATTGACTTAAAGGAAAAGAATCTTAGACTGCTTTTAACCAGATGAAGTTTTCTGGAGAGGTGCCTTGGAAGAGAGAAGCAAACAGAAATAATATTGAAAAAAGAAGGAAAGAGTCTAATTTAATGAAAGAAAATAAAAAGAGAATTTCTGCTGGGAGAAATTCTTTCCTAACTTGGTTAGCAGTGAAGAATCTAAGGGACAGAAAAATAGATATGCTTTGGCAGTTACAATTCATGAGCTGAGGTATGATGATTAGGCCTCTAATCCTGTGAGATACTGTGGAGAAAATAAGTCAAATAAGTTTGGAAAATGCTATTCCATCCTTTGTGTTTAATTTTTCTTTAATTGGCCTTTCACAAAATGAATGTATCACAGAATTATTTTGCCCATAAATTAAGAACCTTCGCAACATCCCTTGGGAGAACACTGAGCTAATAGTGATAGGAAATAAAGACTGCTAATTAATGGGCCTCCGCCATAATCATTGCCTCTTTGGGACAAAAATGAGTAGACTTAGGTCATACATATTCTGTCCTCTTTCATTATTAAGTGATAAAGATTTATAGAATTAAGATAGATTTGCCTTTCAGAATTGTCATATGCCTGGGATACAAAGTATTTCTAAGTATAGGTCTTCAAGGGAAAAGCTCTTCAGTACAGTCCTGGATCTTACAGATCATAGTGAAAACTCTTAATGGTTTTTGTTAGGAGCTTCTTTTCCCACAGTATAAATATTTACAATGCTTCCAATTTAGAATTGAGCCAAATAAGTAGTTTTCTAAGTATGTTTAATTTTTAGTTCAACTATTGAATGTTCTTTTGTGATAATTAGGAAGAACTCTTCAAGACTGAAAAATTGGTTTTAAAATGTTTTGTCCAAAAGAAATTTTAAGATTTACAGAGTTAAACTAGCCCTCTGTAACCAAAGCTAAAGAGAAATCAAACAGTCCAAAAGATGAAATAGAAGTTTTGTAGGCATGTGTCTTTTTTTTTTATATATAAAAGATGTTTTTTCTCCTTAAGAACCGGATTAAAATCCCACACTGAAGTTGACAGATGCCTTTCCCATATTATTTATAAAGATACCACAAAATTTTTGATCTTCCATGAAAGACCTTCATATGGATACGATGTCAGTATTTTAAAGTTTTGCTGAAGTACAGTGGATTACCTAGAAAATTATAACATTTCTGGAACCATCCTTCTACAGTGTGGTGAAAATAATCCCCTGCCACCCTGCAATGGAATCTTCAGATCCCTACAGTTTCTAAATAGTACTCTCAGTGTTTTCCCTCCAAAGGCAGTTCATGCTTACTTTATAGGCGTTTACAAACAGTCCAGTTAATAATTACTCAAGACATTTCTTAAATATATATTTTAGGAAGTGGCATTACAAAAGGAAATATTCTCCAAATTCTTGAAAATATGTTCAAATATGTCATTTGGTGATGTCAAGGTATAATCTACAAATTGAAGTTAACAATATGTAATATTTGAACTATTCTCTGTACTCTTAAAGAGCATAAGTGTTTTCTATCATAAAAAAATGGTAATGTGACTTGACTAGTGGAATTATAAGAAGAAAAGAATCAATCTTTGTTTAGTTGTATTGTTCTTATGTAAGCAATAGATATTAGAATTACTTAGGAGTCATTTTAAATATGATTTTATGAATTATGTCATTTATATCCATGTCAACTTCTAAGTTAACTTGATTCTTTTTAATAGTGGAGAAACAACATGTACAAGGTCTGAAAGAGATATATCCTTTATTTGGCCCTTTTTCTTTTAGGATTTCATACTTTAAAAATCTGTCAGAATAATACAAAGAATTTCCAAATTACTTTCATATTCATATTCTCCAAATGATAAAATTTTATTTTATCACAATTCTACATTTTCTTTTTCTCTTGCTTCTTAAAACTTTTTTACCCCAGGGCAAGGATGTGGTTCAGTGGGCCTGCCTGGTAAGTGCATGGTCTTGAATTCAATTCCTGGATCCAGAAAACAAAACAAAACCAAGAAAATGCCCCCCCCCAAAAAAAACACCTTTTTTCCCCCTGAACTCTGTTTAAGTTACAGAAATTTATTCTTATATGATTCAATATAAAAACAAGAGCTTCTTTTTCAAAACCACAGCACAGTTAGGTAAGTCAGGAAACTAGCAGTCACATAATAATAGCATTAGTTGTAGATATTGCTCAGATCTCAACAACAAATCGCCTCAATATTTTTCTTTTAGCAAAATAAATTGTTGCTGATATATTGATTTCTGTTATCATATGCTTTTATACTTCTTCAGGCTGGAGTATTTCCTACTCTCTATGTTTCCTGTCATGACACTTTTTGAATAATACATACCAGCTATTTTGTGAAATGTGTCTCACTGGAAGTTTGATGTTTTCTTATGGTTAGATTCAAGTTATAATAAACCTAATTTTTTAAAAAATAGAATTATTTAAAATGCTATTTTACAAAAACAAATCACATTCCTGTTTATACTCTGAAAATTTATCTAATTATTTGTCGTATTTGCATAAAACAGAATATTTTTCTCTGGCTTCCTGGAGGAAAAAAAAAACTCCCCTAGAAAAATTTATAAATATTTTTTAATGAGCAAAATTGTTTTAATTATGGTGCATATTGTTAGTTTTGATGACTTATGGACTCAAATGGATCGTTCTAAAATTTACTGAGAAAACAAACAAAAATGTACAATAGTGTTGCTCTTCTCTTTTCACAGTTACTCCTGAATTCCCACAGAAAGGAAGAAACCTTTTGCTATCCTTAGATGAACTCAGATTCTTATCACAGCTCATAAAATCCCTTTTGGAGCTAGAAAACAACATTCAAGAATTATTTGAAGTGATGTTTTTATCAATTAAGGTGTCCAGGAATACTTCAGGTAATTGTTCTTTTTTTTTTAAGAAAAATTGTAAATCTGTAACTTCTGTCCATTTTTGCTTCTTGCTACTTTGAATCTATGCCTATATTTGAAAAAAAATGGTAAAATTCTTTAGATAAATGTTTGGCATAGTGCAAACCATGGATTTCTTTTTTGGTATGTGAACTTGGCAGATTACTGAATTCTAATTTACAAAGCATCTTAAGTACATTTAGGATAATTATCTTTAGTTAAAATTAAATCAATTCATTTTTTTCACCAAAAAACATGTTGGCCTATAGAAGATTAAGCAAACTAGATGACCTAGTATTTCTTCTCCTGCTGCTTACAACTGGGTGATCTAGAACAAAGTGTTTATTTAGCCTCTTTAACCCTGGGTTTTCTCAACTTCAAGGTAATCATAGAAGTTTAATTTTCCTTTTGCTTTCTTTTAGGATTAGATACTTCAGATTCCAACCTATAGGGGAATTAAATAACTTTATATCTAGCATATCATACACAGTAAATGTGAGTTGTTGAAAATAGAGATTATATAATATACTTTTTAAAGTATAATATAATGTTTTAAGTTTAGTTGAGCTTTACAAACTCCCTTTGAAGAAAGTCGTATTTTAAAAAATTCAAAAGGATAATGGTTAAGGTATATTCTCTGTTGTCATAGCTACATTCATAAAGATTTTCATTTTTGTCAGATTGGAATGCGCATGGCTCCATTTTATTTGGTTATATCATACATCATTCCAAGGAGAATGGATGCAGAGGCAAAATAAAGTGAGACAAGGAAAAGATTAAAAAATAATCTGAAATTTGCAAATCCAAACCCCAATTTCTTAGTAAACAATTACAAGAACAAACATATTGAGCAAAATACATGTATTTCTTTACTTTGCCTTGTGTAAATAATATTAGAAAAGTTATAGATTTATAGTTTGTTTTATATTAACATTGTTTATTGGCTTTCTATGTCTCAGGTTAAGTTTAGGTATCACTATTGCAGAGTAAATAATGTAGATCACAGAATTACTCCATTTTCAATTGCTATAACAAAACACCTGATACCAGATAATTTGTAATGAAAAGAAGTTAATTCAGCTCACAGTTTTAGAGACTAAAAGTCCAAAATGCAAGGCACTGACTCTGGTGTAGGTACTTCCAGCTGTACTGCATTATGGAAGATGGCATCACGGTGGCATGAGTACAGGCAGACAGGAAGCCAGAGTGAGGCAGAGGTCCAGTCTTGCTCTGTATGCAAGAATTCTCCCACAAGAACTAAGGTCAGAAGAATTGCCCTAATCCCTCAAGGGTAGTGCTCCCAATGGCCTCTCACTAGACTTCACTTCCTAAAAGTCTCACCACCTCCATCTTTCCACACTGAGGGCCAAGCTTTTAACACACAAGCCCCTGTGGGACACACTCAAACCGTATCTAAACTATAGCAGTCGCTTTTCCAAATTTGGAACTAATTTGAAGAAAACTGGAAGTGAATTGCAGATTTCTGAAGCTAACAAAAGATTAAAAATATAAAAAAGAAAAAATGAATATTAATGAATAGTCAGAATGAAAAAGTAGATTTAATTAGGAGATAATGTGAGCCCTCATGGGACTTCGACAAAGAGATTTGAATGGAGAACTACGACATCTTAATTATGGATTGACATGCTCATGCCTCCAACAGCTGACATTGGTGGTGGTATTGAACCATTATGCCTGGCTAAGATTAGGCATCTCTCATCTACCTCTCTAGTAGATCTGTTCTGAGTTGTAAATCAAGAAACAAAAGGAACTCCACACATCTAGGACCCCTACCCATCTGGAGTCATCTTGTTTTAATCCTAGACCAGACCCTTGAGATTTGTGTAAATCAGGAGAACTTTATTCTTTTTAAAGGGAGCATAACTTTGAAATTAAAACTGTGTTAGAGAAGTAGTGTGTAAAGATACAAAAGTGAAGTGGCCAAGAATTAAAGTAGAGATTTAACATGCTTGTATCACGGAAAAAAATCTTCTTCATCCCTATCAGATTAAGATAAAGCAATGTGTAGGTTTGCAAATGCTGTATGTTTGAGAGCTGCACTTACCATCCTTGAATAAAATCAACAAAGCAAATATATAATTATGCCACAGTATACTTTCTTACTCTAAATTTGTCTTCATAAAAGCAGTCTGGCAGATAAAAGCAATTTCAATATCACGTTAATAATAGTATACTATATGAACATATTTTAGATTATCAAATATAGTATGAAGAAGGAATTTTGAACAGCAGATATCAGAAATGTTTGAGTACTAGAACATCTCCGTGTGATATATGTATTCATCATTGCTAGAGTTATTGGTTGTTAATAAAGTGAAGATTAACATAACCTGGCAACAACTTTATGTAAATGGATCCCTGAGAAGAATGATCTTGGGGAAAATTGTCAAAAAAACCCTTAAATATTCTTCTGGTGTATCCAATTTAATCAATTTTTATCAAGAGCATTGCTTTCTGCTTTTTATCAAAAGCATTGAAACTGATGATTAAAGAAACTAAATGTATTTTAACTGTTGGGTATTCTTGATTGTTAATGTTTTACTTAAAAATCTTTTCTGAGAGGATGAGAAAAAAAGAACACGGCATTTGGTCTTCTGTGTTTATTTTCATTGGAGTATATTTTGTTAACTCGGAAAAAGCTCTGTACTATTTCTGTGTAACTAAAACAATCCGATGAAAATGGGGGTTCTCTTTTTCATTGTCCAGATGTTTTTAAAGTGTCCAGGTGCGTAACATCACATACAGAAAATGTAAAGATGACAAACCAGATATTTTACTTTCTACTTTGATGTTTACTATTATATCATAGACTTAGCCAAATTGGCAGTTCTCTTAGCAATTTGAATGTGAACAAGAGTTTTTGTAGAGGCAAAAATAATCTTTTCTGAGAAGAAAAAAAAAATTTAGTCATTATATTGATTTGTTTTTGTTTGGTCATGATTTGATGTCTTTCTTATTTCCTCATTTCAGAAAATGATAAGGCATTATTTAATTGTGTGATGCTCAATTGTATTTCTTTTAGGTGGTGATATTTTATGGACTGGCTTTGGGTTTTTATGGTGCATTTCTAATGCTCCTTCAGAATAAAGCCATTCTTTGGGCAATTCCTCACTTTTTCCAAAGGTGGCATCTGAGATTTATCTAAACCAGGAGGTTTCTTGGCCCTCATTTTTCTTTAGCCCCAGCAATGACAAAGCGCAATGGCTGCTTCAATTGGATGTAAGAACACTTAGGGTTTGTCTCAGAAGAATCAAAGATTTCAGATCTTCTGAAAGATTGTTTGTACTCTTAGGGGGTCTTAAGAGGGGTCAAATAGCTTCTAAGCATTCCTTAGCTAGATGGTTAAGGGATTGTATTAGGGAGGCGTATGTAGTTAAGGTAAAGAGGCTCCTAGGGTTTGTAAAGCTCATTACTCTAGGACTTTCGCTGTTTCTTGGGCAGAGAGGTCGAGGGCTTCCACATTGGAAATTTGCAAGGTGACCACCTGGGCTTCTCTTCATACTTTTTCATGGTATTATCTCTTGGATGTAGTCTCTTCTACAGATTCAAGCTTTTGGTGGGAGGTTGCTTGTGAGCCAGAAAAAGAACAGTGAAGAAGAAAAGAAAGACTTGTACTTCCCACTTAGAGCTGCCAACAAGGCCAGTTGCTTTGTAGTGCATACAATGAGAACCTATGAAGACCAATTTGGGTGTGAAAGCGGATGTCACAGGAAGTACTGCCAACCTCCACTCTCTATGAAAGAAAGCGGCAGTGTGGAAACTAACCTGAAGTGTAAAATGAACCACAGAGAACTCTGTAGGGGAAGCTGTTGAGCAGCTGGCATTCTTGTGACCCTCTGCACTCTTCTAAGGTTCTTAATCTAGTCATGCTCTTAAAGAAACCAGTGTTGATCATGTGCACATAAGTATGTTTTAGAGCCATGAGCCTTAAATGGACTATCTTTGCTAGACAATAATAAGTGTATAGAATCTTCAATGTATATTAAATATGTTCAGTAATTCCCCAGGTGTTCGCAGAGTTCATCAAGTTTTACATTGCCAAATTTTGAAACTGACCATTTTAAATCCTAAAAATAAATTAAAATGTCATAATTCAGTAAGCCCATGAGATACTGTGTGGATTCAGTATTACTAATTCTGCCTAAGGGTGATCCCTTTTTCTTTCCTGTATAAACTTAAGCTTCTATAAAGTGTTTTAAAATTTTCTGGAAGGGATTATATTTTAAAGGTTACTATAATTATTTGATAATTTATTTTTTTTCTCACTTTGGAATTTTGCACAAGCGAAAGAAGTCTTTGAAGGCTTATCTTTTTTTCTTATTCATCTTGAAAATAAGCAGATGGTTTACATAAACATCTGAGCACGTTACGTTTAGTGAATAAACATAATGTATTTGGGAGTGAAATGATAAATACAAGATAATTAACTTTTTTTCTTAAGACTTAAACTATAACAATGGCAGCAGATAGTTATTTCCAGAAACAGATCTACAAAGCTTATATTTCAAACTAGTGCTCCTTTCCCCCTAGGCTAAATACCATTTTAATTATCTAGTTTTATGAGCTATCTGAAGAAAAGTGAAGTGGTATTAAGGATCCAAGTGTTTTCTATTCATGTCATTAACAACTTGATCTTTATTATTTTTCTTCTTTAAAATTGCTTTTGTGCACTACTTGTACATTGTATTTTGAACAGGACAAAAGGATATGTTATGAAATTATGTCTTTTCCCATCTCCTGTGTCTAGTTTCCATTTTTAGAAATAGCTACTTGTGTGTATCCCCACGTAAAAATGACAACATCTTCTTATACTAGCCTGGTGTTCTTTTTATTAAAAATTCAGAAAATATACATAGAGACAGCTAATTCTTCCTAATAGCTGAGCATTGTTGCATATGTCATAATTCCACGGGTTATTAATTAATTGTTGGACATTTAGAATGTTTTCTCTTTGTTTGCTACCACAAACAATGATATGATAAAGTTCCTTAAACACTGTTTTACATATGCACAACTATCTGTGTATCTGGAAGATAAATTTCAGAAGTATAACTGTGAAATAAAAATTATAATCATAAGGATGACCAAAAGATAAGGCACAGGCTAAAAAAATTGCAAAACACACATCTGATAAAGGACTTGTATCCAAAACAAACAAAGAACTCTTAAGATTTAACATGAAGACAAACAATTCAATTTATATATGCGATGCATGTAAAATCTGTACACATAACCTTGCTGAAGAGCATATTCAGATGCAGGTATGCATATGTGAAGATACTGAACATCATATAGCATTGGGGAAGTGCAAACTAAAACAAGACACACTTATTAGAATAGCTAAACTCTAGAACATTAACAATGGCAAATTCTGGCAAGATGTGGGGCAATAGAAACTCTCATTCTTTTCTGTGAAATGCCAAATGGTTCAGCCTCTTTGGAAGACAATTTGGCAGTATCTTACAAAGCTAAACATAGTCTTACCTTACAGTCCAACAGTTGCATTTCTAGGTACTTATCCAAATGAGTTAAAAACCTGTATCTACACAAAAACTTGCATGTGAATGTTTATAGCAGCTTTATTCATAGTTAGCAAAACTTGGAATAAATAAACTGTGGTATATCAATACAAGGGAATATTATTCATCAATAAAAAGAAATGAGATGCCAAGCCATGAACAAACATGGAAGAATCTTAAATATAAATTGCTGAGTGAGTGAATCCAATCTGAAAAGGCTACAAACTGTGTGATTCCAACTGTAAGACATGATGGTAAAGACAAAACCATAAAGACGTTTAAAAGATCCACTCTGCCAAGCATATAGATTAAGAAAGGAGAGGTACGTACATAAATAGTGTAGAGGGGATTTTCAGAGCAGTGAAGCTACTACATGTGATAAATTAATGGAGAATACATAACCTTATGTATTTGACAAAATCCATAGAATTGCACAACATAAAGTGTAAATCCCAATGTAAATTGTGCATGTTAGTTAATAATTGTATTTTAATTATCATTCATCGCATCAACAGAGGTACCACATCATTGCAGGGCATAAATAATAGGGCAAACTGAGAATGGGGGAAAGACAGGGAAGCACTATAGTTTCTGCTAAATTTTTGTGTAAATCTAAAACCTCTGGGAAAGATTGCCAAGTGAATTTATTATATCAGTTTTGACTGTTAATATTTTTTGTGGAAAATTATTTTAGGGCTTCTCCTGTTTGTGTTCTGGAAAGCCTTTCCTATATGGCTCTTTTGAAAAAAAAAGTCCATATTTTCCTCTTTATGATTTCATTTTCTGTTATTTAAAAAATGCATGATCAATCTAGATTATTTTAATGTTAAAGTTGATTCTTATTTATAATCCATCTTATTAAAATTTCATTCTAAAGTGCAAACCATAGAAAAAGCATTTTAGAATAAATGGTACAGTACTAATTTATTCTAAGACCTCTATGTTGTGATGTCTTGAAAAATAAAACAGAAGTCTTAAAATGCAGTCTGTGCTGTGCTGTTACATTATATTTTTTTTCCTGTCCCTTTGAGCAAATTCTCTGAAACATTAAAAAATCTAAAACAATGAAGAAACTCGAGAGTTGAGGAAAACTTTTCTTCATAATAAACTTTAATAAAATTTCCTCAGAATGGTTTGTGACTGAGAAAAAATAAGAAAAAATTTATTTAGGCTCATGGTTTTAGAGGTTTTAGTTCATGGTCCCCTGGCCCTATTGCCTTTGAGCAACTATAGTTCATCACAGGAGTGAGTACCTGGCGAGGAGACAGCTGTGAAGCAAAGAGAGAGGAAAGGGCCGGGTCCTAATAGCCACCTCAAGGACACACTGCCAGTGACCTAACTTCCTCTTTGCAGGCCCTGCCTCCTAAAGATTCCACGATTTCCAAAGTGCACTTGGAAGGCACTTATCCAAACCCAGTAGTGGTATTATTGCCTAACAACTCGAGCTTTACTTTTAGTATACTCTATGTGCAAGAATGTTGAAAGAAGGTTTAATAGTATATCAGAATAGTTTTTATTTCTAAGTAGTTCTTAGGAATTATTCATAATTAACATAATAGAACCACATTTAAAGGAAAAGAAAACCCATTCTATTGGCTGGCTGTATTGGCTAGAATTCCTACTGATAAAATGATGAAATTTTGAAACTTAACTTTGTTCCAGTAATGAGAAACTAATTGGTAAACTTCCTGGCAAATTAGAAAAATAAACAGCAAAAAAAATTAGATCATAGCAAATCATTTATTCTCATACACTAAGTCTAAGGAAAAAAATTAATGCTAAATAATTGAATCAAACTATCATTGCTGTATCTTTAATGGAAAAATAGAAAGATTTCTTTCTGAAGCATTATTCATTTAATTTTTGTAGGTCTATTTTTTTCCCAGTGGGAAATAATTTCTTAAATTGAGAAAATATTTCCATTTTAGGAGCTAGGGATTGTAGCATGTTTGTTTCTGTGTTTGTTTTCAAATTAATCTTTGAAATAGTTATTAAAAGTATATTTTTCTGGGCCGGGGATTTAGCTCAGCGGTGCAGTGGCCTGCCTTGCAAGTGCAAGTACCCGAGTTCAATCCCTGGTATGAAAAAACCCCCCAAAAACAAAACAACAACAACAAAAAGGTATATTTTTCTGAAATACTGATGATTTGCTATGTATTTTTGTTTTTTGATTCAAGGAAAGAAGTGTTAATATATTAAGAAACAACACCAATTTTTGTAGGTACTAATTTAGAACTTAAGTTTTGAAATGAATGAAGTTTATATTTTCTGAATTCATCTTACACTGTCAACATGAAAATGAATTAACAACAAAAGATCTTTGCAGATTGTATTTTGATACACATCAAATATAAAAATAACTACTATGTAGATTTGTTCAAGTAGTGCAGTATGTGGAAAAGGACTCTATATATCTTGATCTTGTTATTATTTTAATGATGTTATTACCCTACTTGTTTTTCCCTGTACTGGGGATTTCACCCAGGACCTAAATTGCCCAGGCTGGGATAGAACCTTTCAATCCTATTTCAGTCACCCATAGTGCTGGGATTACCCACCACACTGAGCTATATCCTACAGCTTGTTGGCTGTATTTCCTTTGTATTAATGAGTGTGTGTGTGTGTGTGTGTGTGTGTGTGTGTGTGTGTGTGTGTGTATTTAATGTGTATGTATATGCTCTAGGTAGAACTTTTCTGCATAATTAATTTTAATCTGAATCCATTAATCATATCTAGTGTGGTTTGTTATTTTTAAATATATTTGTGTGCCTCTTTTTTGTTACTTAGGAATTTTGGAGAAATCCAGTCAGGATGTTATAATAGAGAAACGTGTGTGTGTGTGTGTGTGTGTGTGTGTATTTAATGTGTATGTATATGCTCTAGGTAGAACTTTTCTGCATAATTAATTTTAATCTGAATCCATTAATCATATCTAGTGTGGTTTGTTATTTTTAAATATATTTGTGTGCCTCTTTTTTGTTACTTAGGAATTTTGGAGAAATCCAGTCAGGATGTTATAATAGAGAAACCTAGAGCAAATAAAAATAGTTTTCCTTCAGAGGAATTGCTACCAGTAAAAGAGGTAAGAAATTTTATTCATAAATAATAGCACCATCATGTCCATGAATCCATTATGAAGCATAATGTCTTAAGTTTTACCCTTTGCCCATAAAATTTTTGTGGTTGTAATTTGGCTTATGAGTTTTTGACAGAAATCAATCTTTGGTGCTGTGCATGTTCTTCTGCATAGTCTGTTCTGTGGCTGTACAGAGATGGAAATCAACAGACCTTGTTCTTATCTTGATTCCAAGTCTGCCCTTTGACAATGTGAGCTGCAGATCATTGTTGAAAAGTGAGATAATGTTAATAAAAGTAGAGAATAATTGAACTAGCCTTTAGTTTTGTTTGCCCAACCTGTGCTTATTTAGTGATGTATTACTACTCTTCTCCTGCTCTGTTCTATATTGTAGAGAATTATATCTCCTCGGTACTTTTGCTTTCTGGGTTCTCAGAAGATATGCTTAATTAAAGGCACTGATGGAAGATTGGGGCATAGCAGTTGTAGAGATACAAGAGTTTTTCTTTCCTTCTTTCCCTTAGGGTAATCTCTGGCAGTGGCTGTGACTTCTTTATCTCCTCTGTGGATTCTTCTCCCACCTTACCGCAAGCATTCCCTGCATGATTCCAGTTCTACCTGGCTGGTCTGCCTTGAGTTTAGCTTCCTCTAGTAACCCCAGGTCCTAGTCTCCCATAACATACTCCACTTTCTTGCTCCTCCAGCCATATGGGTGGTTGTAGTTTTCTTCTGCTTTAATATCTGTTGTGCTTTACAGTCTATGTTTTGTTTCGTAAATCTTTCAACACTTATGTAACCAATACCCTACATTAAATTCTTCTTTTGAAATACCTTGAGTGGTCTCTGTTTCTTAAGGAATGCTGACCAATACATGGTAAATATTTTAAAAAAACAAATGAATACATAGTTGTAGCAAATTAATACATAGTTTTAACAGTTTCAGCCTAGCTAACAATAAAAGTAATGAGGAAAATTCAGAATTATACATTGTACGTTAAGCAAAAAACAAAATCAATACTAAATTAGTATTAGGTAACAGAAGACAGATTCAACAAATATCTACCTTGTTCACAGAACAGAAAACCAGATAAGTCCCCCCTTTTTTTTTCTTGAATCAACTAGTTAATGCTCTGTATTTTAACTGGAATGTATGTAATGCCTAATACTCATTGGGAACAGCAGAGGTAAGCAATTTTTCATGAATAAATACACTTTTAGAAGAAAGTTTCAGTAAGTAAAGTTTACAACTTTCCATTTAAGAGCAGCTATTAATGTGTTTATTTTTACATGTTTTGAAAAGAGAGTTCAGATGGGACAACATATTATAATTACATATAGATTATCGTGGGCAAAGATCATCACTGGAGCAAAATAAAGAAAAAAATTTACACGTCAACCACTACAATTAATGACAATTTTTACCAGAAAATCGTTTCTTGAATGATTGAGGGTTAATAATGAATAGATATGCCCTGATGAGGAAACAAAAAAATCAGTGTTTTTGTTTGTCTGTCTTCATTTTCATTGGAAATGGGCTCTTTTTTACATTTTTGTCATAAGTACACCCCAAGGAATTACTGTCATGGCCCAGAGCTATAATCATTCCACTTCTAAATTTCCACTTTTAAGAAAGGAGATTCTATACACTTAGTAGATTCAATTATTGGTTAATTTTCTTGCCAATGTAAGATAAGAGAGATGTATTTCAGGCCCTATGATGTTAAAGGTTCAAATAGACTTTAGATAGGCAAGTTCAGTCATAATGCATTATGACTATAATGAGAAAAAGAGCTACTTTTTCTGATTATAGAGTCATGGAGTCATAGAACTTTAGCTCTAAGAAATCAATCACCTTTATTATTTTGTACAGCATATACAAAAAGCATTAAATTAGTGCTGCATAGAGTATGCATATAAGAAAATTAGGCTAATGATCATAATTTTAGTAATTTTATTCTAAAAAGGGATCATAGAAATCATTCAGCTCCTCTCCTATTTAAAAAAATAACCTGGATCAAGAAAAATAAGTAATTCAGTCTTCTGAATTTAGAATTGATGAAATGTTGCCATCAATAAGGTTACATTGAAGTAGAAAGAGTTTAAGTCTAAGCATAGGATCTGCATAGTACTCAAATTTTCGGTACTTTCAAGAACATTAGGGAACTTAGGGAAAATAAACATTCATAAATTTATTGCCATATGAGACAAAGACCAAAAGAAAAAAGCAGAAAGAAGACAAAAACATGACATCAGCCTGCGCCCCTCAACCCCTTCTACTCCTCCCACACATAGAGCATTGCAGATTATTTTAATTCATTTCCTGAAACAAAAGTAGTGTCCACCACTTCGTGGGTAGAGAGACTAAATAAAATTCTAAGCAAGTGAAAATCCAGAAAGATACAGCAGTGTGTTTTCTGTAAGAAATTTATTTCTTATTGCTATTTTTTTGTCCTGTCTGGATTTTGAGATTAAAAAAGAAATCAAAGATTGAATATTAAATGCTGTCATATGTTGCAATACTTGTTAACAATAAACTATAAAAGGACTATAAAAATCTAATTTAGGCTTTATTAAATATATTGAATTTAAAGGTTGCTTTATGTGATAAATAGTAAGTGTACCTTTCGGCTCTCATAAAGATGGTTTTATTGAACTATATTTAAAAGATTAAATTTTAAAAAAGTTTTTGATTAAATCCACTGATGAATTAAAATGAAATGTCAGTATATTACTGTGTGTAAAGAATGCACATGTTTTGTATATTGCTTTATTCACTAGGTAATATTTTTCAGGTTGTAAGAATAGTTTTACAGAGTATCGGAGAATACCTATATTCAGTGTGTTGAATGAAAACAATAATTTTGTATCTATAGAAACATTTGCTACTAAGTTAGGACTAATATGACTTTATATAAATTTTTATTTCAGGCTACATTATTGGATTTTGGCTGGAGAAATGCATTTAAAGAAGTGTCTCTTCCCATGGCACATTGTATAACCACTAGAGTTGCAGATTTTTCTGCAAAAGTTCTCCAACAGGAGCAAAGTGAAAGGTCTTCAGCTGTGAGCTGTGCAATGAACCTTGTAAGTGTCCAACAAGTCTGGCAAGTCAGTCACATGTTTCCTGAGGAAGAACGACCGAAGAAAATTGCAAAGGCAAGTACCAACTGAAATCCTTTCAAATCGCTGATGAGTAGCATGGGATCTTTTCTTTCCTTTTTTTTTTTTTCTTTTTAAAATATAAGGCCTTGAAAGAGGAACCTGTAGATCAAATAGAAGAGTCTCTTAGCAAATACCTGACCCAGTACAATTTTATTCTCTGCTATCCACGGGCAACTGCTACCAAAAAGGATTTGTACCTCTTGCTAGCTTTTGGCCCCATTGGTGTGAAACAATGTAAAAGGAACCTCTGAGTCTGAGAGGGAGATGGGAAAACTGCCTGTTTTTGGTTATAGCTTTGAATGGCAGTAGGAGAAATGTAGAGGTTGAAAAACATAATTGTCTTTTTTTGGTTTGAGTAATTAAAGCATCTTCATTTATACCTAAATAGACATTCCATGTCACTAGTGTCAGTCTTAATATCTTTACCAGTGTTTTGAAAATCACAAAAATTACTGAGCAAATAAGAAATACATAAATATAGCTAAATATTCTTACTCAAAACTAAGTCCACCATGACTTCAGCAACCTGAGGTTCCAGAACATTCCCTACGGAGTTCTGTTGGCTTCACCTTCCTTCACTACCCTGCCCTCCAATAGAGAAAATAGACACACAATTAAATGCAAAAAGCAGACACATTCTTTCCGAAGTTTACTGGTTCTTTACCAACATGAAAATGCCATGAGATTGTTTGTTGCTTATTTATTTAAATTAAACTGATATTTACATTTGATCTTTGATTTAAAACATTTTCAATGGAAATTTAGCAAAAGAAGATTAGGGTAATTTCAAAAAAACGTAAGCAATGTCAAAGACACATATTTTCTGAGTTCTATTAACTGCACATAAAGGTATTGTCCAATAAAGCTGCTTCATGAGTTTTCCACAGTCTGTCTGGTAAGCATAATGTTTGAAGGTTATATATAGAGAAGCATCGTTTTGGTATTTCCTTGTTTGACATGAAACATTTAACTTTCTGCAACTGAGAAATTGATTATTATAAAGCTGAGTCACTGTATTTACATTTGATGCCAAATTCATTATTCAGGAATTTGGCTCCACTGTACATAAATTACACGGTGCTGTCAGAATACAAATAACTCAGCGCCACATTTATTTCTCCCTAGTTTTGTTCTGACATCATGGAAAAACTTGACACAATGCTTCCACTGGCTCTGGCATGCAGAGATGATTCTTTTCAGGAAATTAGAGCAAACTTGGTGGAGGCCTGTTCTAAAGTGGCAACAGCTGTCCTGGAAAGACTGCAAGAGAGAAGCAAGGAGTTTCCTCGCAGAGCACCCCTGAAAAACCTACTCATAGTCCTCTCCACAGCGGTGTATGTCTTCCAGCAGTTCACACAGTATGATAATTTGATGAAAGCAGCTACTCAGAAGTGAGTGTCATTTAAATTAAGTTGATGGCCGTGCTTAAAAAAACATGTAATCTTCAAATATCCCCAGAGTGAAATTTTGCTGATAATATTTGAGAAGGAGGAAATACTAATCAGCATGATAAATTATCTTCTTTCGTCTTGGCTAGCAAAGATTGGAAAGGTGGAGCCCGGGGTTTGCTAGCCTACATACGTAGACAGTAAGAAGGAATCTGTATGAAGCCACTCTCCAAAGAGCAGCTATTTTCTTCATGTCATTATGCTGTGATTAAGTGTAGTTGTTCCATTTGTGAGGCACATTATCCTGACCTCACTGAAAAATTGAAAACGAAATTGTTTTTGTCCCAGATATACTCATTTGTGAAATATTTGCTTTTCTCTTCTGTTTCTAAGCCAACAGAAGAGGAACTTCCATGGTGGGATAAATGTTTTTTAACCTATTTTAATGAACACGGTAAACATTTTGCAGAACATCTGTTTAGTAATAGACTATCCATAATATTTGAAGAGGAAGCATCTACCAATCTTTTGTGTGTGTGTGTGTGTGTGTGTGTGTGTAGCTGGGATTGAAATCAGGCCCTTGCGCTTGCAAGGCAGGCCACTGAACCGATGAGCTAAATCCCCGGCCCTACCAATCTTAACTCTTATATACAGCAGTCTAAAATTATGAAGTCTTTTTTATAGAGAGATAAAGATTACCACAGGTATTATCATATTCTGTTCTCTCCAGAACTTCATATGACCCCTTGCAAAAGGAATATGTGGACTTAGCAGTCCATTGTGACCCTCAAGAATCTATTCTATATTCTTTAGCCTCTTAGTTATGAAAGAAAACTGTGGGCTACAAAGAGCTAAATATATAAGAAAAATAAATTTATCTTGATGTGGGAACTAGCTATGATATTTCTTTAATTCTCATAAGTAGTTTGATGTTGTGATTCATACTTGAATTTATAAACAGAATGTGCCAGAAATCACTTTATTTCTGTGGAATATTTTTAAACAGTTTATGAGATAATTGGCATCTACAAAATTACAATTCCTTAAATAAAAAGAGTGTGTTTGTGGCATGTGTGATAGCTATATAGAAGTTGATTCTGACAAGTGAATGTTGTTCTCTGGTAATAACGATAACCTAATGCCTAAATAATGCACCGATCTCTAATAATAGGCTTGCAAAGAATACTTTTAGTTTTGAATGATGTATTGACGATGAAGTTTTTCTCAAGTTGAAGTGCGTATTTGTAGAACAGCAGATGTACGTTTTTCAAAGGACTTGCAAAACAAAGATGAGCTTTTTTTTCTCTCCCCCTTTTCTTTTTGGAAAGTGAATGTGGATGTGGGCTCCAGCATTGGGAGGAAATGAATGATTGATATTTAATAATCAAAACCATTTGTAGTACTGGAGATTGTTACCTCCTACTGCACAGGCCTTAAATCTCTGTCTCTTTGATCATTCCCTCTGAACAGACCCATATTCCTGGTGCCTGTCCAACGATATCAGGAATTCATCAACACTCTACAGTTTCAGGTTACGGACTACTGCCTCAGAGTTTGTGCTACAAGCATTTTACAGGATGCTGAGAGCCACCACTGGGATGACTACAAAGCTTTTTATGAGGTGTGAAGTTAAGTTTACTATCCCTCCTTTTTACACAAATATGTTTTACTGCCTACCTGCTTTCTGGCTAATTAAAAGCATGAGCTTGGCATTACTAACATATGAAGGCTGTTAGGATAATATTTTTTAAATATTGAATTTGTACATTGGGAAAACAGTTTTTAAAAACCTGAAATAAATTAGACATCAGAACTCTCCTTCTGCTTAAAAGTAAAAATAACTTAATTTCAGCTGCAGTATTGCCTTACTGTATAAGTTGGAATATAATGAGATAAAATGAAAATGCTAAGGGATAGCAATATCAAAACTCCTTTTATTTTTCCCAGAGTACCAGTTATGGTGATCCTCGCATTGTTTTCTTATTGTACATTTCCATCTGTGTTTGATAAATATTTTTTATTAAGCAGCTATATTCTTTGTTTCAATTTTCTATCTTCTCATTGTTCTTATGAATATCCTTTAAGACTCACCTGATCACTTACAGCTTATCTTTTTTTGTTCAGCCTATGTGTTGAAATCCCAAATTTCCATCAAGTTAATCCCCATTGATGCCCAGTACACCAGAACTGTGGATTAATTAAAATGATGCACCATCAAGCTTCATTAATGTCTCTGCCTCTAGATTCCATAGACATCACCTCTAGACCACACCATTTGAAATTTTTCAAAGCTAATTCCATGAAAAGCTGAAACACCTGTACTATCTTAATAAAAGATAACTGAGATTTTTAAGAAATTCATCAGCCATTCTGAACTTCATTAGCATTTCCATTTCACCTTTCCCTCTAGATTAGTTTATGATTTCTGTTTTTCTTGATTGTCTGAACCAGGATGGGGTATTTAGAAAAACGGAGTAGAGTTTTATTCAACAGTGGCTCCCGGGTGCTGATGATCGCAGGGTCTCCATTTATGCCTGGGTTAGCATAATAAGTGTTGCTCCAACACAGAGGAGAAGCGATAAGAAGTTCTTTTAAAGCACCTTCCAGTTTTTCTAAGGCCATTTCGCCTCTCCTTTAGAGGCCCTTCCCATATTGCTTCTCTTTTTGCAAGAGCTTCTACATAGGGCTTTCCAAACTTGACATACTTCAAACTGTAGTGGCAGCAGTGAGCAGACCGAGAAAGAGATGTGGTACAGCTGGTAGCCTGAGATAAGAATGAACGTATTGGTCTTCCCCTCTCCTGGCAGCATCTTTGTTTGCCTTGAGGTAAACAGAAAGGTTGAAAATGACTCCATCTCATGTTTCAAACTATTTCAATATGTCAGGCTACTAATGAGCAATTTTATATGATATTTTTAGTGAAGAGCAGGTATCATCTCTGTATATGTTCAAAAGAAGGGTATTTTGTTTCCTCTTATGCAAATTGGCAACTAGAATACTTGTACAGTATAAATAATAAGTGGATGCATCGAGAAACCTGTTATTGAAGTTACCAAGTGTTTTTTTTTTTAAAAAACCAAATTACCATGTAACACGCAGCTCTTAGATCTTATGACAAGGCTTTAGCTTCAAAGACAGAAATAACGAGATAGTTACCCTGTGATTACATGGTGCTGTAGCTCCCATATACTTACATGGTCAGTAGTTACAATTTAATTGCAGAGTTAGTGGTTGTTATTTATGCCAGAAAAATAAAGTGATGCTGCTTTTTCTATTTACCAAAAATAAGATCCTTCTAAAAATAGCACAGATTTTAAACAGTTTGACAAGTGGTGTACCTGATAACAGTTTTATCTCGCTTACCGCACCCTTTTCCCTCCTCTCCCCACTGTTCCACCTGATCTGTGAAATACAGCTGGTATGTTTTTGGCGGCCCGTTTGGGGAGAAAGGAGATGGTACTTGGTTGATGTAGTCAAAGGATAAGATAGAGAACTCAGGGGTGCCTATCACCATGTGCAGAGCATAGCAGAGAAAGAGTAAAAGAATTTAAAAGACACAGAACAATATTTGCTCGTGTCTTGTGAAAGCAACCAAGCCCTAGGCATATCATTTCCATTTTCTGAACCATCAGGTTTCAAGAGTAAGGGACATAATAAGGGTATATCTGAGGAGGTGCTGGTCAGGTCACATAAGGGGTATTCAGATTACATATTTAAAATTAAATGAAGTAAAGCTGATGTCTGCTCAATTTTAGAAACTTGTGTTTTCCAGTAGTCAGAGAATAAAGCATTATCTGTTTAAAAATAGTATTGAGTAGCTTGTATAATAAAGCCCAGCTGCTTATTTCCTGATAGATAATCTAAACAAAAGCTCACATCTGTTTACATTACAGTGGGTCTGCAAAAATAACAGATGTTTACTAGCAGAATACCACTGAAATGACAACAAATAGGGAAACAGGTCAGAAAAAAATGGATGAATCATGTTTAGTTTAATGAAAACCTGCACACACATTGAAGCTACATGCATTTAAAAAAGAATTGTTGAACAAAGACCAGTTTGGAATATTCTTAAGTGAATATGAAATTTATATTTTAAAAACTCTTAAAAGGAATATTTTTTACTTTTAGGAGATTAAACCCATATTCCTAAACTTATTTTTTTATTTTCTCATTTATGACTAAAATGTAGATATTAAAGAAATTTGGGTTTCATGTTTTGATGATTAGGATAAATACTGTTGATCATATTAGAGTAAGCACCTATCCATTGCCAAGGGGAAAGTTACAGCGAATCATTCATTCCAGACACCACACTGCTTCATTTCTACGCAACATAAAAAATATGAGTGACCTAGGAACCCAGCTTTAAAACTCCTTAGTTCCAAAATGATTCCTTATCATAGAATACACACACCACAAAGAAAGCATAAGAAACTGTAATTTTGCTACTTTGTCATGATCATTTTTTTCTTAGCCAGGTCAGCAGCACATCTAGGGAGGAAGTCAGAAGTAGTCCAAATCCCTTTTGGCTTGAATTTGACACTGCTTGATGCCAAGTTTGCTGTAGTAATCCTTTTTCTTTTTTCTGGGTTTTATTTTTGCTTGAGTTGAAATTTGGTTGGTAAAGCAAAAACACACCTTTAACAGCTTAAAATTTCCAAACAAAATTTACTGCCACTTTTGTAGAATTTAATTTATGCTTGTTCCATAGAGAACTATATAAATCCCCTGAGGAAAAATTTCCATGGTTTAAGGTGAAACTGATTTTGTTTGTTCTCTGGGGATAAAATGAGAGATAATCTCTAGGCAAAATAAAGGCAAGGAATGAGAATTCCGTTCACTTATCAGTGCCACCTGAAAGTCCATAGATAGTACTATAAATTATTATTAACATTACAGCAACTGCAAATTATTTTAGTAATCAAAGAAACTACCAGAAGAATGACATGTGATGAAAATACAGGCATATCTGCATAAAAAACTATCAATTTTTGGTATGGGAGAACAGCAGATTTTTTTTTAGATGACTTTTTTTTGGAAATGTGAATAGTGGAGAAAGCAAAAATTTTATATCCAAGTGAATTACTATACTTAAAGATAAAATAGGACATTTTACTATTTTAATTTTTGATATATTAACATAATAAGGATAATGTTTTAAGAATGCATTCCACTCTTCTGTTTCAAATAAGTCTTTTGATCTGGTTTGAAGAAAATGAGGTCAAACAGCTGGCAAACCTCCCCAAGAGCATGTTACCTAATTAATGCTCACAAATCACTTGGGGCTACCTTCTAGTTTCTGCCTGTTCCCTTTGGCATGGGCCACCCTGGGGTCTCCCTTTGCATTCAGGGAGAATTTAGTACACAGAAGAATCTGTAGAGGGATGGATAAGAGACAATGTCATCCCTGCAAGGGCTCCATAAAAATGCTAAGAAATGATGATGTTATGTCCTTCAGTTTTACAAAAGCTTGTAAAGTTAAGACTACTTCTAGTATGTGTTGTTGGTTAGGGTACTATTATTAAAAAGCGATAAGTGAAATAGTCTAATGTAATAATTTTCAATAGTTACACCTCCCTCTTGGTTTCATGACTATTGGTAAGCGATAGCTTGCAAGTTTATTTTCACTTTTTTTTAATAAAAGAAGACAATTCCCGTTGGGAAGGAGGAGGAAAAGAGAGATGATAAACAGCTACTCTGGACAAGTAGGAAGAATTCAAAAGTGATATACTCCTTTCCATTCTTTATAATGTGAAATCTGAAAGATTTATACAATTATTTCCGTGATGCTAATAGTCTCAAAAAATATACCTTTTAAACTAATTTAAACAAACTCTAACTTTGAAAGAATGAGTATATTATCTTAAACCAGCCAGCAAAACTTGTTCAGCAGCTACAAAGCTGATTGTTTTAAAAGTAAATTTTCAATGTTAGACCAGGAGAAGGTAAGTCAAGGATATGCTAAGCTAAATTCTTGTGGTCTGGATTTGCATTGGAATATCTGGTCCCATAATTGAAATAAAACATATGTTCTTTTGTCAGTGAGGATGTTTAACATCTTGTCAAAAATCTTTGTTGGTCATCTAGTGTGTCGGACTCTGCAGCTATTTCCTTCCAGCCTGAACTAATTAGGTTCATGGGAAGCCAACTGACATTTTTGAAGATGTGATTCTATTGTTTAATGTGTGGTTGTTTTGCCAGGGGGAAAGATGCTCCTTCTCACTCCAGATGTGGCATTATTTCTACTGGGCTCTTCATCACGATCTTTGGACCATTCTTCCCCCTAAGTCAGCCCAGGAGATCCTAGCAGAAGTGCTGGAAAAATCCTTGGGTCTACTGGCTTCCAGATATGCTCGGGCCCAGCCAAGTTATAAAAGAACTCCACAGATAAGGTACATGATGCTCTGAAAGCCATTGCTTTTCGTGAAAACCTTTTCATTAGTTGGCATAAAGATGAATGTAAATGCTCAACTTCACAACATAACTCCTTGTATATGTAACATGTTTCTAACATCTGAAAGGAAAATGTGTTCAATCCTCCTGGGGTGTTTAAGTGGAAATGTAGACCTTGAATCGAAATAACTCGGCTCCGTTTCTTTTCTGAAACTTGTACATAGAAGCCATTTGTGGCTAAGGCAGTATTAAAGACATCTTATAATCTAGGACACATATACAGAAAGGTTAATAAGATTGAAAGAGAAAAGAAAGGTCCTGAAATGGAAAAAAATCATCCACACTGTGATGGAGCAGTTAATTTGACTTTGAGCTTCTAGGCCACCAAGAGATTTTAGTTTATTACTCCTTTAAGGTTTTAAATATAGTAGCTTGTCTTCACTAAGGAAACTACTTTATCTAATCATTTTTCTTCTTAATATATTCTAATTCTCCCCTTTTTTTTCTTTTCCTTTATTTGTTTTCCATTCCCTTTCACTGTGTATTACTAAAGGCTGGTTCACCAGCACGTGAAATAATACTAATTGAAAAGCAAAAGTCACTGGGTTATTGGGTTTTAAATTGACGACTGAATTATACTGCAATTCTGTGAGTTACTTAGGCAATGAATATTATACAAATGGGCTTACATGACAACAATGATTTGTATGAAGAAAAAAACTCGTTTCAAAAATACTCTAAGGGGATCAAGAGCTGTCATTTAGGTCTATAGAATTGGGGGGGGTATTTTTTTGAGGAATCTACAGAGAGGAGCCTTTTTTGTTGTTGTTCCTCAGGAAGTACCATTTCCTGATCATGTTCTTGTAAAGTGTGCTGCAATTTGAAGGGCATTTAGTTCCTGCTACAGTGTTTTCATAAATGCGATATTTTGCACAGGCTGTTTTGAATTACTGCCCAAGCTGTTAAAAAAAAACCTGAACTCTGAAAAATGGATGAAAAATTCCTCTTGAGAGCAAAATGTACCTTCACTCTTTTTTTATGTGGTGTAAATCACTTTTGACTCTTAGATGGCAAGTCATTATGAGGTGTTTCTGAAATCAAATTTACTGTCAGCTCATGAAATAGGTAGTATATTTAATTAATTAATTGTACTGTGGAGATTTTTGGTTTTTATTTTCTGGATGATTGTATAACATGCCAGGCAAAACTAGAATTATTGCTTCTAGTTTTCATGAGCAAAATCTATAAATATTTTAATTTGAGTGGTTGATACTAAACCATCGTCATTGTGGAAATCGGATTATATTTGTGTGTGTGTGTGTGTATGTGTGTGTGTGTCTTGGTTTAGTTATAGTTAATTTAGAAATTAGAGGAAGCAAATGAGAACTACAATTAAACCTTCCTAAAGGTTATTATTGATGATTTTAGTATTCTAGTAGCCTCCACATGTCATGTAACCAAAATTATGTAAAATATTTTATATATGTATATGTATCTATATATATAATAAATTTGAAAACTAAATGTCATTGTACAAGATCTACAAACTTACTTTTTTATCACTTTAAAATTTCTTTTTTTTAAATCAATTAATCTTATTGGTACATTTAAGGAATACAATGTAATAACATTCATCATTGGAAATTTGCACCTTTACATAATCCATCTTGGTTCTTACTTTTTCCCCCTTCCCCTGGCCTCCCTTCAACCCCTCAACCTCTCCCTATGTACAAAGACTTTGTTTCCATTTTTCCTTTTCTCATATTAATTCCATTTCCATCTTTCTTTTCCCCTGCCCCTCCCCCTTTCCCTTTGCACCTTTTCTTCCTATTTCACATTATCTGTTACACCTTTTAGTCCTTATGTACACTTTCACTTTCTCACACTAGAGAAACTATTCGGTATTTACACATATGCATCCTATTTATTTCACTTAAGAGTATTGCCTCAATTTTCTGTTTCTTCAACTCTGAATTTAAAGGATAAAAAGGAAATTGAGTGCTGCTTAAGTTAGTCATATTACAAAAAAATCTTCACATATAAATTTGAATTCTTATTAAAATTCAAGAAAGGGGGAAAAGACACAGAGAGGATAGTTAGTGTGCACGGGGTGCAGTTGGATGGGAAAAGTAACTTCTGATGTTTTATAACATGTTGGAATAACTATGGTTGATGACAGTTAACTGTTTCAGAATAGTCAATTGAACATTCTCAATGCAAAGAAACAAGTAATATACTGTATTTCTAAGGTGATAGATGTGCCAGTTACCCTAACTGATCATTATGCATTACATTCATGTATTGTAATGTCACACTGCCCCCCTTAAATATGTATTACTGTGTCCATTAAAAATAAAAATACATTTTAAAATTTAAGAACTCCTCAATGATGGAAACATTAAATAAATAAAATTATGACTAAAATTAACAGAGCAAGTTGTCCATAACTGATTTAATATTGGAAATTTTTGAAATTATAAACATCTCTATTTGTGCTTCTCCTGCCATTTCTTTTTACCGCACACCAATGGTAGAACACGAACACATTACAGCACATTATAACTTCCTTGGAGAATTATTCTGCTGTCAGATTTTCACACACTGCCTCTACTTTGCTGTTAGAAAATTTTTCTTTGCATCTAACTCAATTTTGCTCAGTACAATTTCAAGAACAATCTTTTGAGTTTCTGGACTAGAATACTAATAATGCAAAGAAAACTTTTTAAAAAAAGCATTCCCAGAACACAAACACTACCCCTACAGAGGAAGGTGCTATGGGTCATTTAACACCTGGAAATACGAAAGGTGTCTTTGGTGCTTTCTGTTTTGGTTTCTAAAACTCTGACTTCTAACCAAGTCTTTTCTATTCTTGCATATGCTTAGAATAAGAGTAATGGATGAAAATGTATATGCCAAGCAGAAACATTATTCTGTTTGACATGATTCTCTTTTTATTCCCAATAGACTTGATGTTACAACAATTTTGATATGCGCTGAGAACATGTTATGGTCAATTTGCACATCTGTACAGAGACTTTTGACTCCTCAGGAGTATAAAGATGATAAAATCTTTAAAATTCATATCCACTGTAATAATCTGCTTACAACATTAGCTATAGTGGCTTCACCAATAAGAGAATTATATAAGTAAGTATCAAAAATATATTATTTTAGTTATATTAATATATGAAATAATATGTTTAACAGTTACTTCATGTCAGTTATCAAATTGTGTTAAGAAGCAAGTCAATTTTTTAAAGTGGATTTTTGATATTGTGAATCGGTGTATTTTATAAAATAACATCAACCAACAGAAGTGTCTTCATTCTCAGGGAAATTTAGTCCCACAAATGTTGCATCTCTATTCTACAACCTCATTCAGTTGATAAGCTTCTCTTGTAGTCAGAAACATTTTAAGCGTTACATTTTTTGTTTGTTAGTTTGTTTTTGGTACCAAGGATCCAACTCAGGACCTTGAGCTTGTGAAGTAGGTGCGGTACCATTAAGCTAAATCCCTGGCCCTGAGCTTTACTTTTTGAGTTAGGTGATCAAAATATCTTTATATGTTGGTTATCTTAGTCACTGCTTGATAATATATAAAAAGTAAAAAAAAAATAGATTAAAAAAGTTCATCACATGTAGTTGATACTTCTCTTTTAAAAATATATTTTAGTTTTTAATTTTATTTAATTTGTTCTAATAAAAATACATTAAAAATAGTTCTAAAATATGCCCAATTCTAAGAGATGTAATAGCTTCACAGTTTCAATAAATATGCCATAGATTTGCGCTTTTAATGTTAGAATTTAACGTCTGCACTGGTAATGGCAAATGGAAATAGCAATAGTAATGGCAAACAGAAATAAAAAAGGCTAAAGTATTTTACTTAGCTCAACATGATTCAGAAAAATTAAAATTTTTGAACTATTTCTGATTTCTAATTAATCTGATTCACATTCATAATGTTATAGATGAGATTGGGAAATATATTATAATTTTAACATTAATATCATTATCAAAGCTTTCTCCTAAATTATCAATTTTATACTGAAAGAGTGAACAATTGTATGTTTTTAGTTTATTAGACTGCAAAAATTTCACAAAACATTTCTATTTCTTAGTCTGAATATGTGAAGTATTATTTTCTATAACATTTTCGTAAAGTGATACACACACCATGATTTTCAATATATTTAAAGACTTTTGTCTTGGATTTTCTAAGAGTAATTAACAACTTTGGCTTCAATTTCCCTATATTTTCCACCTACTCTTTGACTTTCAACAAACTCTTTGCTTATAGAATATTATGTCTAACAACCCAGGTTGAAAATTAATTTTAGAAACCGAAAATTCTTTTAACAGGGGAAGAAGCAATGAGATAAATCACCATACGGTTGAGATTGTATACATAATGGTTCATAATCATGAAAAACTTAAGTCCGAAGCCTATAATAAATCCTGGCAAACTAAACCGATTTACCATAGATGAAAAAATTGCTATGCTTTCAGTTCACTGGGTCATTTCATCTAAGAGGAAGGCCCTGTAAAAATCAGGAACAAAGTTAACAAATTTCATGGATTGGTCATGGTGAGCAATATTGAATTTCATGGTTTGTCACAGATGAATTGAAAATTTTTTACCCCCCAATGCATTTGTAAAACAAATAAATTATTATGAAAGATTGCATACTTTAATAATAATTATGTGCCATACATTTATTACTATTAACCTATGGCCTTTTGATACTTGTTAACAACTATGGACATACTCAAAACTTTATGATTTGTATATTAAACACTGTATTATAATCTCATTCAGCAAATTTATCCAGGATTACAGAATATTTTACACCAAGCACCATGTTTGGATTTTCTTAATGTGAAAACCTAGATAGCTATATTGCTTTCAAGCACGAACAAAAATCTAGATATATTTCAATTCCTTTTAAGTAATTCTCAATTTAAAAATTCACATTTTATTTACATGTTTATTTAAATTTTATTGTTTTCGTAGAATACAAGTCTAATCTTTGAAATAGATTTTGACTTTTGTTGAAAGAAGAAATTTACAGAGCAGCATATTCATTACCAGCAAGGGAAAAATACATGTATTTTGCAAGAACCCTGTTGCCTCACTGAGTTTCTCTTCACAGCTAGAATATTAAGTTGTCATATTATTACCATTTTAGAAAAAAATTGTCTGTGTCTCATGTTAAAAAATTAAACCATACATTTTGAGGAATTGGCGAAAAGTAACACTCAGTTGATGGAATTGAATTTTTATAAACTACATTTAGCAATTGTCATTCAGTGTGAAATATTGTTTTAGAAGGTGACTGTCTTTACTTCAAGTAGTTCTGACAGGTAAACTGAAAGTGTTTTCCTTTCTGAGTTTAGTGTAGGACCACTAAATCCCAAGGCAAGATTACATGATTTTAAAATCTTTTCAGGAAGAATAAAACCTGTTCACAAAAATATGTATGTTCTTTTTAAAGTGGCCTTTGTAGATTTTTGTTGGAATGTTCTGTGAGTAGTACTTTAGATTCTTTCTCCAGGGAAAGAGACCTGCTGAAACATAAAATATTCACCGTGTATTTCCCCAAACACTTAGCACTTGTAGTTCTTTTGTGAAGGCAGTTAAACCATGCATTTGGAAGCATACTCTCTCTCTCTCTCTCTCACACACACACACACACACACACACACACACACACACACACACCACAGTGGTTGCCTATCTTAAAATTTGATGCATAGACAATTAGTTTTTGTTGGAATACAGCAAGTTAAAAATTAATTACTAGAGGGCTAGGGGTGTGAGTCAGTGTTATACACATGGCCCTATGTTCAATTTCCAGCACCTTTCCTGCCCCAAAATTAACTTATAAATGTTTAGTAAGTAGAATTTGATTTTAATTCAGCAAACATTGTTGTCTCTGTAACATTGTTGTCTCTACGGGGATTTGCATCCACAGGGATGCAAAAGTGAGCAAGATGTGATATCTGTCCTGAAGGCATTCAGGAAAGTCTGATGAAATTGTTACTATATAATTAAATAATAAATTGGCATCTTTGCAAAATGTTTTGATGTATCATATAGAAATTCTTAAAAATAGAAACTTTTTGAAAGTTGAGTGCTTCAACATTGAATGGCTTGGAAGAACAAGATTTCAGTCCAAGTACCAATATACCAGGCAAGGGTGGGGCATCAGAGATAGGACAGAGGACTGATTCCAAGCCTAGAGACTCCTTCTGGGGTCCCTTGGTATTTGTTACTCAGAAGGTTTTTGAGTCACTAAATTCATAGATGTTCCAATACTGTGTCCATAGCTTTATTTCAAATTATGTTAAGTCTTTTGAGGTTATATCCTGAGCCTATTTAGTTTTTTTTCTTAGCTATTATACTATATGGACTCAATTTTTGTTTTTCATATGTCAAGAATGGCTGACACTATTTGGAAAACAGTTAAGAAATTCCTCAATATATTAACATAGTGTGTGCTTGTGTAAAATGTTGAGCATATGGTCTTATGACCCAGCAATAAAAACATATGTTCCATACAAAGATTTGTATAGCATTGTTCATGGCAGCATTTTTTCGTGATAGCACAAAATGATACAACTCAAATGTCCATCAGGTACTGATGTAAGTTATGAAATTCTGTGAATATAGTGGATACATTTCAGTTGTGCACTTCAGATGTGTATAATAAATGACACAGCTTAATAAAATTCTCAAAAATGAATGTAGATTGAATAGAAATAAAAATAAAAATATTTAAAATATAAAAAGTAAGCTGAGCATGGTGGTGCATGCCTGTGATCTCAGCAGTCTGGGAAACTGAGACAGGAGGATCACAAGTTCAAGACCAGCTTGCACAACTTTATGACTTAGCCAGACTCTGTCTCTCTCTGTCTGTGTCTCTGTTATTCTGTCTCACTCTATATATCTATATCTGTATCTATAGATATATAGATAGTTCACTAAACAGATGGTGAGCCCTTGAGTTACAACTGCCCTGACATATGAACAACTTGAGTCACAATTGAAATTTAGTTTTAACTTATGAACAGAATCTTGAGTCACAAGCCAAATTCTGGGCGCTTGTGCTTCCAGATGTTCTGAGAGTTGTGGAAGGGACATTACAACATCCTTCCCTGTGTGGGGTTAATGGAGAAATACTGGGCCACTGTCTCCCTAAGGACACTGAGATCTGCCCGAATATAGTAAAGAGACTTTGAAGGCTGTGTAGAGGAGCCTGAGCCTTCAACTGACCAACCTGAGTTGCAACCAGCCCTGGTAAATGAATTAAGTTCATAAGTCAAGGGTGCAAAACACACACACACGCGCACACACACACCTCCCCCTGGAGTAGCTTAGTGTGCTGGGATGTAACTGAGTGTGAAGGCTCTTGGTTCAATACCCAGTACTAAATTAAGAATAACTTCACTTTCTTAGCCATTTTCTTGGGGGAAGTATATTCCTTTGTGTACCTTCCTCTAATTATTTCCAAGGGAAATGTATTTTAAGTAACATAAACTCAAATAGCTTTACATGTGTTCCAAACAAGGTAAGGCGCTGGTAAGGATCAGTCGTTGACTTTGGAGCTGGCCTATGCCCTGAATCTGCGGGTGGTTCCTGCTGTCCTGGACTCTGGTCTCGTTTCCTCCATCCTCCCTACTTCCTGCTCTCTGACTGACGCTTGCTGAGTGCCCTTCCCACATTCACGCTCCTTCCTGGCAGTACCTTCTGCTGTCCTTTTTTCCACCTATATTTACTATGTTTGCTATGAATGTGGCATTGTGCCAGCCATTTTCTCACTTAAAAGCATCATTTTCTAATCTCAGAGAGGCATTTTTATTATAAGAAATTCAAGCCAGAGGGCAGAAGAAATGTAGTGAACCATAATTTACTCAAAGTGTTTTTACCTTGATCTCTCTCACTTAATGACATTTAAGCAACATTAGGCCCTAGAGGTAATATTATTTTCTTTTTAGAGCAAAGCAGTGACTTTTAGAATTTTCTTTAAATCTTGAAGTAGATCAAATTTGGTAATTTCTACATATTCACAATTGTTTAGCATTTGGGGGGCCATCAGAAAGGCCCACAAGTCTTCAGTTATCCCATCTAGTCAAGTGCTCTCTCAGTAGTTCCATTTCAAATGAATTATTCTTCAAAGGTTATGGTCTTCTGTTGGTGTTTTTATTTGTTAAACACTTCCCGGGGCCCAGTAACCATGGGGTACAACATGAGGCCTCCACCTCTGTAGGGCTCATACTCTGGGCTGCCTTCATTCCTTAGGATAGCTTTATTCCATTAGCATCAGATTCTGCTCTGTGTGGGGAGAACAGCCAAAATCCGAACCATGCAAGGAAAGCATAAGTCCAGGTAGCTCTTTTTAGCTTTCGGTTATTCTCACTTTCTATATGCCCTGGATTTATTTTATGCTAGTAGTTGGCCCAGGAAGCCAATCTTTTTTTGGGGGGGCATACATGCAGATCACAGAGCAAGAGAAAATGAACCTATGAGTGTGTGCTAAGGTGCTATGCTGTGGTCATTCCAGAGGCAGCATAAATTTAGTGGGAGGGAAGGTGCTTGGTTCATTGCTGTTGGAGGAAAGACAAAAGCAAATTCAATTTTTCGCTCCTAAGGAAAGATACTTTCTTGTCCATTAATTTGGAGGTGAGAAAGAATGTATTTTGCTTCAACTTATATAAAGACACTTATTTTTAAAGTATGTAAACTTGCTATGTCAAAATTCTTCTATGTTCTTGCAGAAAAGATAATACTGTGGCTCATCCAATTGTATTTTATTCTCCACTATGAATTATTCAGAGTGTCTTCTTTTTTTTACTGTATAACAAAACATCATTAGAGGTTATCTAATAGCTAGCTCATAATTTCATTCCCCCATTGAGGTTTGTGGGCTAATTTTCACCCTGTTATACTCTTCAGAATAATGAAACTAATTTGGGATCTTGCTGTGGAATTAAATGCTCATGCAGATCCCACCCCCTCTGAGACCATAAACATCTGCCATAACATCTCTCATAGCCAAATAACCTTCCTGTTTACCAGTATGACTGAGGAAGGGTCAGTGGAGTGCAAGGTCCTGGCACAAATATCCTGGTAAATACTGTGTCGCCAGTGGGTTTCAGTCGAAGAAATTTGGGCACCACTTACTCTGCCATTATCATTAGAACCCCATTATTTTTTCTACTATGAGGAAGAAACTGTAACTAGGCAACCATGTAGACGATTAGGAGTTCTATGCCAGTTTTGAGGTAGTCATGGACTTGCACTTGCTGGTCTACTGACTGACCCTTACCCACACTGAACCTTCATTGTATATGTGGTGCTTTGTTAATTCTTTTATGCTCATTATTGACCAGACTTCGCAATCTGATCCATTCACCCCCATCATACAAATAATGAGTGGGCTTAAGTAAATTGCTGCAGTGCACCACATTTCTTATAAAGAGCACCCCTAGGACCTAAACTCAGGCTACCGAGCTCCTTCATTCTGCCTGTGCCCACACAGTGCTTTCAGACAACCTTCAGTGACGGCCACTCGGGCTATGGAACAGAGATAACAAGTAAATGTCAAAAGAGGACAGGAGGTAGAGTTAAGCCCCTTGAAAGGACAAATCAAAGAAAGTACAGAGAGGTGTGAGGCACAATATGTTTAAATGGTGCTCAGGGGGACTCGTTAGAGATGATTTGGAGGCAGAGCCATCTCAGGTGCCAGCTGACAATGACCAAGCTAGCTCCCTCGATGAGCTCTTCATTCTGAGAGAAATAAAATGGCTCAAGGTAACTGGACAAAGGTCTCAGAAGTAGAGCGGAAGTAGTCCCTGCTCCTCACTCACCAAACCCTTCCTCTCTTGTCCCAGGCATTCCCCCCACCTTCACGACTGCCTGTCTCTTCAGACTCTTGCTGCACCACCTCTGTCTCCCCCACCTTTCTGCTCCCTGCTGGCCGTCTCTCTTCACTGTACCCTCACTTGGTGGGGCCATCCACGCAGACCCTGATACGTGGCTGGGAGTATCACTCAGCAGTCCTTAGTACCTGTTGACAGCCCTGTTCTTTGTCTACTCTGGGGCTGCTCCATCCATTCTTATCCACCAGGCTCAACCCTAAGGCCTTGCACCATCCCACTGGATTTGGCAGTTGGCCTTGCCTCTTTATATTTCTAAGAAAATCCAGATTATCCTGCAGGTACTCTAATGTCTCACATCTACTCTTTGTAATTATTTTGATCCTATTCTCTTCCATATCCTTTGACTGATCTCTGATCATTGTGTCCCTTTTCCTAACTGAAGCGAGTTTTTCACCTGAGCACTTGTTAACATTTACCTCCTACTCCTTGGCCTTGATCGTTTAAATATTCAATCAGTTGTCTGGATCCTGCACTAAGTGTCTTTTGTGTTAACAATATTCCTCCTTTGTCATTGTGCTTCCACTTAAAACAGGTCACATACATGGTCTCCACCATTATGCCCTCCATTCCCCCAGTGCACCGCAAGTGGACTTCTGTCCTTCTCAGGCTAAACAGACAGAGGCAAAGTCATCTGTAAATAGCCAGTTTCTAACTCCAAGGATCTATCTTTGTTTTTACCCTCTTCTTTGCTTTTGACCACTTTCTCTTCTCTTGCTTTCCCTAACATCACTCCATTCAGGCTCTTTTCTTACTTCCCTTGTTATTCCTTCTTGGTTTCATTTGAATGCTTCTTATTCTCATCTCACCCTTTAAATGTTGATGTGCTCCAGTGATCTTGAGCACCTTTTCATTTCACATACTTTCTTTGGGCAAACTCACTCATTCACGTGGCTTACCATCCATTATGCTGATGACTTCTACACGGATATTTTCAAAGTAGATATCGCTGGTAAATGCTAGATTGCTAAATCCAAATTCTGATTGTATGCCTCTTTGGGTGTATTTGAAATGCTTTAACTCACACAATACATCTAAAATTAAGAAAGGTTAACTGTGAGTTAACCTTGACTGCCCCTTTTCCATTAATGTCCCCCTTGTATCTTCACCCTCATGTCATCTTCAAAGCTATGTCATTAAAGAGTGAATATTGCTAATTTTATATATTTAGCACTTGTTAACATTTGCCCCTCACTATTTCCTCGCCTCTTCCCTTGGTTTAGGCTCTTCTCTAGTTCTGACTGGCATAGGGCAGTAGCCTCTTCATTACTCTTGATCCCCTCCAAGCCACCCTCCTCGTTCTGAAGAGAATGTTCTCAGATGTGCAGCTGCTGGTCTCACTCCAAGGCCATCAACTCTTTAGTGTTCCTCATGGCTGCCCCAAAGCCTAGGCTCCTTGGAAAAGCTCATCCCACACCTGACCTATCTCCTCCCTCTCTCTGTGGGTCACATAGTAGAGTACATCGGATGGAAATAGTACAACCTGACTTTGAAAACTATTTGAGGAATTTTGTTTTGATCTGTAATTTAGTGAGAAATAATAACTTTCAAGGAGGGGGTGATACATTAAAAGTCTAAAAAATTTCTAAGTAGATGTGATAAGTATATGTACAAATTCCTCAGGATGAGTGTAATTACTATGTATGGAAAACTATACTAATAAAATTATAATAATAAATATAAATTGATACAAATATAAAATTTCAAGTATATTAAATAAGAAGATATTCTACTCAGCAAGACAACAGGGGGATAAAACTATCAAACTTGGACCAGTGGGAGGTTAAAAGAAGAAAATATGGAAAGAAAAGATAGGAATGCCTTTTCGTACTAGAAGTCAGTTCTGTTTTGATCATTTAGGTTCAAAAGACACTGTTGCTTTTCTGCTATATGGAAAGATGGTATCACTTCAGACAGTTGCATTTCTAAAATGTTCCAAATCATCCTTAACTATGTGGATAAATATTATCTCCTGTGATTATAACATTTTTATTAGCCAAACTGTCTGTTAAAGATTTTATGTAAAAATTTGTTATAATTATGGTCAAGATTTATAGTGGAATTTGAGCCAACCTAGAAAAAAAGCTTTCAATCACTTCCAAAATATAGTTGCACACCAGATATTCTAGCCAAAATATTTGAATTTTTAAATCACTGTTACATATTTTACAGTTAAGTTCTTATGAGCCCTTCCTTGGCACTTAACACAAAATTAATGTAAAGCCTCATTTATTGTTTAGTATTTGTAAATTACTCTGAAAGGCTAAAAAGAGGTATTCACATCAAACATTTTCATATTAATCAAGCAAATATAACAAATTTTTAGCTTTTTTGAATGAAGGGAGAGGAGAATCGAGTGGATGTAAGAATACTCATGAGAGACATAGGAAGTATTTGTTGTATTTTCTTTATGCATTTATCTTTGAAAAAATTTTATAATGTGAGTTTAAGCAAACTATTAAGTAGTACTGGCATTGTTACATTTCCCAAGTTAAGGATTATTTGTGATATACAGGCTCATAAATATCCAAAGTCTCAATTCATGTTTTTCATGGCTTTGTTGATTTGTCTACCTGTCCCCTGAGTCATCTATTAAATTAATCCCAAGAGGTTGAAGGGGGTGCATTCTCTACTTTAGCACCATAAGATTTTTTATAAAAATAATTTACTAACTACGACATTAAAAATCAAAAGTTATTTCAGTGGTCTTCACAGTCAATATTTCCTATATATTCTAAAATAATCACTTTTGCTTCCCTAGGACTTTTCAGCATGGCATGGATGAGTCTGCTTCAGATTCCTTAAAATCATTTTTCAACCAACCATTACATTGGGTTTCCTGCATATCACATTTCTACCCTTCCTTCCTCAGGTAAGAACCTCAAGTTGCTGCCATATCTGTAGTTCTGTTATTTCTGTTAATATTTAATAGAAACTCTGATTCATGGATATAAATGAATCTTAAAAAGGAACTTGTAATGTTTCACAATAGGCAGTTAAGTAGAGTATGATTTCTCTCTCTCTTTTTTAGTTCAAGAATCCTATGAGGCATGGGCTTCATAATCATTCCACTAACTTATGGCTTTAGTGATATAATGGAAAACAGTGAATTTTTGGAGTGAAGTTTGGTAGTGAATGCCTCACCATTTAAATATTCATCCTTTTTGATCTGTGACCAGGGATTTGATAGTGCTCAGCTAATTATCAGATATAAACAGCAAAACTAGATAATCCAGGTAACTTAGGTAGAAGTTAAGAGGAATAGCTTTTATAATTACGGATGGAACCTTTCACTTTTATTATTTAATTAACAGCATTTAAAAACAACAAAAATCATTTAAAATGTGAAATGTACTTCCAGAGTAATCTGATGACATTTTATGCCATTATGTGAAATGCAGTTCAGTTCTTTCTGGAATATATCATGGGAAAATGCCTTTCCTTTGTATCTGAGAATAAAAAGATCATCTATAGCTAAAGGAGATATTGTTCATCCCTGTGCATTCTTGATTCATCTTGGAAATAGATTAGATAGCGATACTACTTCAACGCCTGAATTGACTGAGCATATCTCTTCCTAGAGGAACAAGAGTCCCACCCATAAACAGAGGGCATGCAAGCCTCACACCTTAAACTCTCTGTACACACAAGAAACAAATACTGCTTGTCTATTGTGTCTGTCACCATATATGTCGTGGAGAATCCAAGACCACTGAGACATAGATTCTGCCTTCAGGGACTTCAGTGTCTCCTTAACTATACTTCACTTACATATAGAATCATATCAGCATCCTTGATGGATTTTTTTAATGATTGACTCCTGGAAATGGAATTCCCTCAGGACTGTCTTCTCAATAACCGGTCATCTTGATTGCAAATATACTTTTACGTCAATAGGAAAGAAATAGCCAACTCTTCAATACTCATTATTGCAAAAGCAACATGTTAAACAACCTGTGCCCATTCCAGGGTATAGTTCAAGCTCTTAACAACTGTTCCACCACTTTTCAAAGAGAAAATCATCCAGGGTGATGTTAATAGAGATGCTTGAAAAATAATACCCCTGCGCAAGTAAGATTGTCAGTTTTCATTATGTAAAGTCCCCTTCGTGGTTCTATTTTGCATGGGCATGCCAGCTTATTTCCACAGCGGGGGTGGGGGGACCTAATCTGCAGATTCCCCAAACTTGTTGTCCAGGGGAGGAATAGTTACTGGAAGGTGGGACACTATTGAGTAGTCAGACTTATGATATACTACTATATAAAAAGTGTTACAAAAAACCCCCAGAAAACTAAAAATGTCATTACAAAAGCATGTAGAAAAACAAACATTGTAAGGATATATGCTGGAGAGTTCACAGTGTTTGTTTGTGTTTTGTTAGTTTGTTTTATCTTTGGGTAGTGAGTTTACAAGTCATTTTAATTTTTGTCTGCATTTTCCAAATTTCTTATAATGAGTAGAGTTTAATTTTATTAAGATAAAAACAAACTTTAAAGGAAGTTAAAAGAAACCCAGCTTTCTTTGATTTTCTTTCGTTCGTGTGGGTTTAAGCTATAGTTTTTATACAGATGATTTCTAGCTCCAAGTGCCTACCTGTAGACCAACACTATATGTTCATCTGCTGGTATTTCTTAGATGATCCACTGTAGTAATGGAAATACAACATGATGTTCTCAACTGATCCTTTCTTTCTGTCTTGCCTTGTTTTTCACACAGGGTCTTATCTGTTTGGAATGTTATTGTACTTAAATATTTGCAAAATTAAATCTGAGCCTTTTCTTTCCTGTTCTGTCTATTATCATGTTTAGTTGACTCTTCCTCCAAAAACCTCTTAGAAGCTCCCTTTCTCTTCAATGCATTACAATGACCTTGGTTCATTTTGCTATTTTTTAACAGGTTTAATTTTTTGTGTACAGGCTGGGGATTTAGCCCAGTGGTTCTGACACCTGCCTCACAAGCTCAGGGTCCCAAGTTCCATACCCAGTACCAAAACAAACAAACATACAAACAAAATATTGTGTGCATTATGTCTCTCCCTCGCTCACAACCCTGACACAGCTTCTGTTCCCTTGCTTATTGGAGTACGTAACAATCTGCTCCACTTGATTCTATCTCCTCACAAATCCTGTCTAGGTCATTCTGTGCTTTTTAACTTTTATCTGTTGCTCATTCCTAGCTTCAGGCCTTTGATATATGTAGCTTCTTCTCCTGGAATGCTGTGGCTCTAAATTCTCCATGTAAGGTTTGATTTGAGCACCCCATTCAGTGTTATATTCTCTGACAGTTTGCTGTGCTGGGTCCATGTTGTCTGCTTAGAAAGACATGATCTATATGATTTATAACTCCACATGCTAAGAGCAGGGATACCATCAGAGGATCACAGGATGGCAATGAAAATAATTTTAAAATAACTCAAGTTATTGATTTGCTTTTGTCAGACATGGCAGTGTGGATTCCTGGACCACCATTATATGACTTTAAAATCTCTATCTTTCCATTTATTTAAAAAATATATATCAGCTGTCTATACGTCTTTTACCCCCAATTATCCTTCAAAAGTCTATGCACTTTTGTGACTAAAATGAATGTTCAGGGGAGTACATACGTTGGGGTGATAAAAACAGTAAAAATGTATTAACCTGATATTTTTGGAAAGGGAAAAGCTGAGAGGAGAGGTGACTGAAAAAGTTAATATCATGAAGGATCGTAGTGATAACTATTTATTTAGACCATCTACACATTGCTTCTGAAATAATTGGAGTTTGTTTTGGGAAACATTAAATAAAAATAATTAAAAGTAAGTGAGAAGAAAGAAAAAGAGCAAGGAGAAGAATGTGAAATTAATACTTAAGAGTTAAAATGCATGAATAGCTGTATGGGTCGTACATTTCTCTACAAGCTTACCAGAAAAAAACTATGAAGGATATAAAGGGGTCAAAAACAAAACTGTTCCTGTGGTTTAGAAGATGGCCTTAGGGAAAATACATGTATTGTCATGGTAGTAAGTATATATTACATTCATTGTCCCTAGCAGGGGTAAAAGCTAACAATGTGAGTTGATTTAGAAAGAGTAATTGGTTTCAGACTAGATTAAACTAAAGCATGTGGAGAATATTTCAGTCTCTAGGTTCATATTATGACACCATAGTGTACTTTCCTATAAATGTTCAAAAAAGAGTATTATCTTGGTCTCTATAGTATGTTATATTTATCATACTTCTTATTATTTTTCCAAACTTTCATGTTCATGTGGTTCTTTGAAACTTTTCAAGTATTTTTCAGGTTTTCATTTGTTAAGTAGGTCACAACTAAACACTGAATCCAAGTAGCATAATCAGTTTGTATAAACAACCTATTTTACCCTGCTCATTTTCTTTTATGAGTTCAACATGATGTTTTGATTGTGCCCAGACCATTCTGAGGTATAGATATGTGTTTCTACTGTACTTCCCTTTTATGCTTTTACTTAATGTAATGCTGTTTGGGATTTGTACATTTCTTCCTCCCTAAATATATTAAGTAACATTTGGCTTCATTATGTCGTATGCTTTGTGGCTCTTTATCCAGCTCACCAAGATGTATTCATTCATTTCTTTAGTAGTGGATTTTTAAAACTTTCTCCCCATAAGGCACTGTGCTAGTATTAATGGTGAGTGAAGAAGCTGGCAGCCAAACCCTTTCCTCAAGCCGGGTGTGGTGGCGCACGCCTGTAATCCCAGCACTTGGGAGGCTGAGGCAGGAGGATCGCTGTGAGTTCGAGACCAGCCTGGGCTACATAGTGAGTTCCAGGTCAGTCTCAACGACATAGTGAGACTCTGTCTCAAAAAAACCAAACGCTTTCCTCAGAGTGTTACATGCAGCTTAGTTCCCTACTTGACAACAGTATACAGTGTCTATGTTCATTTTCTTCATCCGAAGATACTCTTTTCTCCCAAGATATTCTCCCAGTTCCTTTGTTCTTGTTTCCTTAAACCCCAAGCCATTTTCGTAATCCAAAATTTATCATGTCATACTTTGACTTAAAACCCTCCTGTGAGGGTTGTCTTTAAATATATATAAGACAATTTTTTGGCATAGCCTATAGTGTCTAGATAGACTCGTCTCTTAATCATCTGTAAACTCTCCCCATATCCACTGCTTTCTACATTAGCCTTTTTATATTTCATTAACATGCAGTGCTCCTCTCTGCTGCAAGATCTTTGCACACACTTTTCCCTTACCCTAAAGTAAGTTCTTCATCACTTTGTTAATGCCAACTTCTCTTCATATCTCAGTTTAAATGTGACTATGCAGGAAAGCTTCTCATCAGCCCCAAGGACTAGATCACTTCTTTTTGCTATAGCCTCTAAGAGATTCTTTTGCTTTTCCTTCATTGACTTTTCATAATTGTAAATTGTCTACATGTGTAAGGTCATCTAAACTATGTTTGAGTTCTCCATTAAATTCCATTAGGCTATGGCCTGTTTTTCATTTACTGTTTTGTCTCCATGGTCACCCATAAATATTAGTTGGGTGAATGAGTGAAGGAATGAGCAAATGAATTCAAAGTGGCATTCTCATCAGGTAAGTGCCCTGTTAACTGATACAAACGTTTGCTCTGAGTGGTAAAGCTCAGGTGTGAGAAGCACAGTCTTCATGGGGAGGTGACTTCTAGTCATTTTGGAGAGAACATCTGGAGAAGAGGATGGAGAGCTGATCTCCAGGTGCTCCTGAGAAGTTGCTACATGAGACTGAAGAAAATGTTCAGAAAGCTTCTACTAAAGCTTCTAATGTCAAGTGCTGAAGTAGAGCCAACAGCGGGGGAAGAGTAATGTGAGCCATTTATACCAAAGTTCTTAAGTGGCTGGTAGATCTCTGAAAAAAAAACCCAAA